AAAATATAAGCATCAGAGAAATTTGGAAATGTTCAATATGCTTAAAAATCAAAATAAATTGACAATTACATTGTACTAACCGGTGTACTTTGGTTTCTAAGCACAGTATACCTACAACAAAAATGTAGACTACACCACTGCTCTAACCCTAACCATTACTAGTGCATAGCTAATCCTAACCCATCCTCAATTCACACCTTAGTCCTAAACCTAACCCTTAACCCACCAACGACACTTGAACCTTATGGGGTCTGGGCTTTGGTCCCCACAAAGAGCAGTTGGTCCTCACAATATACTATGTGTTGAAAAACAGTCCTCACAAAGTAGCATAAACTAGCACACACACACAAACACACACAATGTGGTCCTAAGGAGCTCTTCGGTAATCCAGTGTAGGAATGTGGCATTAGCTTCTTTCTTCACTTCCCATGGTTTAAGCATCCCACGCTGCACTTCACCACCTCTGCAGGGATACATGTAATGCACTGTTTGTTGCATCAATAATCTTGGAGCTGAAGACTTGAGGTAAATCACTCTCACATGCCATTAAACAACAGCACTGTTAATTCGACCTTTTCAACTTGAAGTTTGAACCCTGCCACCGTGAATATTGACTTGGTGACAGACTTATGACGAGGTTCACCTGCCAACTGATTTACAGCAGTGGGGGGGTGTCAGGGCCAATTCAGTGTGGAATTTAAAGCATGACTGAGGATTTACAGTGCGTTGAAGCAAAGCCCTGAGCTGATAGTGTGATTTATGAGTGAGTCATCTCCCAGCTCACAACTGTCTAACTCAGTTTCTGCAGCGTCCGTCTGCAGCAAGTTGTAGGTTCATGGAAGATGCAATGTGTGCAGACTAAATGAAAAAATGATTTTAAAGTAGAAACATTTTTATATGTCTAAAGTGGACTGCATGAGAACTGAAGTTGACAGTTTGTCACCGCTTTTTTTTTTCTTCCCAATATACAAATATGCTCAAGTGGGTACATCACTTCCCACAAGTCTGCAGTGCTAACCTTTGGATTAAGAAACACATGCTCACTCCTCCTCCTCCCATCGCCCCCCCTCCCCCCCACATAGCGCACATTCTTGCTTGGTTCCCCCCCCCCCCCCCTCTCTGTAGGTTAATAAGAAGCCCACTGTTCCTTGCTCTGTCTCAGGTAGGACTTTTGCCGACTCAGGCATATTTTACACCTCTGCACAGAGAGGATGAAACTTTAACTGTGTGTGTGTGGGGGGGGGGGGGGGGGAGGGGTCAGCTGAAGTCAAGCAAACAGTTCTGAGTTGGCGGGAAATCAGTTAAATATTATCTACTTGACTGGCAGTCTGAAGCTTAAAAAGATCAGATTAATTACACATTTCTTCTTAGTTACAGTCCATGATTCTCTTTGGCTTTTAACGCAGCTTGAAATGTTGGCTTTACTGTTTTATGTTATTTGTATTATTGTTGTTACTGTTTTATGTTATTTGTTTTATTGTTGTTACTGTTTGCCGTTTTATGATTTGGTAGTTCATTACTTTTATGGTATTTGTTGCGTTCATAGTTTTTATGCTTGTATGCGTTAGTGTACAGCACTTTGGCCAACGGTGTTGTTTTAAAGTGCTTTATAAATAAAGTTGTATTGTATGATTTCCTGCTGATTATATATATTTTAATAATGCATTTGTTTTAAGTTTACCATTGCAGTACATGACAAATTTGTTTTCTGTTCTTAATGCTTTTAACGATTAATGGTGCTAATGGTTTTACAAGCATTACTTTTATCTACTCTAATATATGGTAGTCTAAATATAACCCACCATATTTTTATTTTATTTTATTGTACTCTATTAATCACCAATGGGGAAATTAATTATCTGCATTTTTCCCATTGCACATGTGAGCACACATGTGAAGCAGTGGGCTGCCATGCCTGGGGAGCAGCTGGGGGGTTGAAGGCCTTGCTCATGGGTCCAGAGTAGGGCAAATGAGGGTGGAGGTAGGTGTGGATGTTTCACTTTTTCCATCAACATTTTGATGTTGTTGGTCCGGGAGTTGAACCGGGGTTGACCGGCGACCCTCCGATCACAGGCCCACCCTCTCTAACCTCTGCGCCACCTCTCCCCATATGTTCCAAAATACACTTGTTTTTCAATCAGTACAAACTCAACAATGATAACTTGCGACATTTAATAGGTTAACTTTAATTCTGACAATTTGGCAGAAATGCCGTATTAAAAAAAACTTCAAACCGTCTGTTTTTAATCACCATTCACATGGCAATGCATTATGGGTATTACCGACTCCTGGAGTAAAATGGAACAGATAATTTCATTTACCTCAGTAGTTGGAACTCAGATTTATAACTCAGAATTATGATAATATTATTGTAGTCTTAATCTAAGATAAAAATTCTGTGGGATTAGCTCATTGTTATGCTCAGTGACCAGGCTAACTTTTAGTAGAAGCTAATTGCAATAGTTTATAAGCAAAGTAAGCAAATTTATTGAGATACAAACTGAAAGAAGTCTAAATAACTAGTTTGTTTTTGCAGCTCTTCCTACATTTGTTCCGTGTGAGGCAGGCAAAAATAGATTTTAATGTCAGGTTGATGAGAAACCTTCAACTTCAGGGTGTTGTTCCAGTTGCTTTTTATAAATTGGAATTAAAAAGTTTCAGATTCCTTGTACAAATATTCTCTGTCTCAGGGCCAATGCAGAAAACCTCCCGACATCTGTTCAGTTTTAGCTTGAAAAACTGGTGAAAATGATCACAGTTCCTGGAAGTGTTCACAACAAGATCAGAGCAGCGGGGACGAGAGTACAGCAGTGTCTACGGTGGCTTTGCAACAGCTGACTTTCTATAGGATTTCTGTTTTGTGTCATCAGCTGTTCAAGGTAAATATGTTTCAAGGTGAGGGGTGCGAGCCCTTTGACTGAGTTCCATCAATCAGTGGCGCTTGAAAACATTTTTTGGATATAAGAAGAGGTATCGCATTTTATTATAGGCCTTGGCCATAAATCAGATCTTTGTCTACAGCGACAGCAGCTAAACAAAGAACATCAAGAACACCACAACAAGGAGAAGCCATAAAACTTCCCGAGACGTCCCCCCCTCACAAGGCAGTAAAATGCTGTGAGATGGAGGACGAGCATTTGAGTAGCACAAATGCAGAGTGGACACTGATACCTATAGTTAAGTTTTTAGATGTTACCATTAAACACTTTTTATGTTGCGTTCACAAAGATAAACTGCGTATTCGTGAAATTTCAACTCATAATGAGTCTCAACTACATGAAATAAATTTGTCTAAAATTTTCTGGATGATTTTGCATCATAATAAACAAATAATAGCACAGCTCATTGAAGAGCTTTTGCATTTTTAACATAAATATAGTACTTTCGTGTATAAACGTAAGCACCCCTGACTTTCATTTTCAATCATTTCCACATTTAAAGCTAAACTAAACCATAACTCATCTTCATATGTCAGCAGGGTCCTCCATGGCTTTCTGACTAAACTTAACTAACTATGGCAGACCCACACACACTCCTGCAAAAGTTAGCGATGCATACAAACACTTTTCACCCCTACATACCAATGAAAGGTGGCTGAATGCCCAGACAGTGGCCCCAGAAGTCCGGGCAGCAGTCAGAGACGGTGCGGTTGCAGAACAAGTCACAGTAGCAGATGGTGTCCAGGTAGGGCACCGTGCACAGGTCGTCTCTACCAGGGCAGCACCCTCCTCTCCTCTGGCAGTACGAGCCATTTGGGTCCCTGATGCCACCAACATGAAGTGGACTGGCAAGTTCTCTCTTGGTTCGTCTGGACAGGACTCTGTCTGCAGTACTCTGCTCCACCACCAGGAGCAGCACCACAACAGTCAAAAGGATGAGACGCATGATTAATCTGTAAAAGACATGAACAAAGAAAAAAGCTTTAGAACTCATGAGATTAAATTGGTTTTATTTCAGTCATGTCTTCTTTTTATTTATCATTACAAACAGGACTTTTTGGTGTTGTTGCTGCACCAGGAAAATTTTGAACAAGAAATGTTTTGAAGAGATTCTGAATGGTGCCAAGGCAACTACTACCATTCCAAGATCATCTTTGTAATAATATTAACTAAGAATATTTATATATATATTTGTTTTAATGTAATGCTTAATTTGTTCTCTTCAGGTCAAGGGTGAGGTTCTGCCTCAAGTGGAGGAGTTCAAGTATTTTGGGGTTTTGTTCAAGAGTGAGGGAAGAATGGAACGTGAGATTGACAGACAGACTGGTGCAGCTTCCGCAGTATTGCGGCCTCTGTGCCGGTCTGTTGTGGTGAAGAGAGAGCTGAGCTGTAAGGCAAAGCTCTGATAACCAGTTGGTCTATGTTCCTACCCTCACCTATGGTCGCGAACTCTGCGTAGTGACCGAAAGAATGAGATTGTGGATACAGGCGGTTGACATGAGATTCCTCCGCAGGGTAGCTGGACTCTCAGAGATAGTTATTTGGGAAAGACTCGGAGTAGAACCGCTGCTCCTCCACATTCAGAGGAGCCAGTTGAAGTGGTTCGGGTATCTGATAAGGATGCCTCCTGTGTGCCTCCCTAGGGAGGTTCTTCGGGCATGTCTGACTGGGAGGAGATCCCGGGGAAGACCCAGGTCACGCTGGAGAGACTATTGCTCTCCCAGAAGTTCTGGAAAAGAGGTCTGGGCCTCCCTGCTCAAGCTGCTGCCCCCGGCGACCTGACTTTGGAACAAGCGGAAGATAATGGATGGATGGAAGGATGGATATCAAAATGCCATTTCACAGATGCAAAGTCCAACATTTTGCAGCATGTCGCAACTTTAAATGATGCCTCTTCTGTGGGGTAAATCTAAGCTATAGGAGTCCAAGGAGGCTCTTTGCAATCATTTTGCCAAGCTCTTTCAGACCTCCATTGTAGCGGGGATTTTATCTACAACGAGTGACGTACTTCTACCAAAAGTCATAACTCACTCTTCAAGATAGAGCTGCATGGGTTGATGTAAAATTTACATGTTTTATTTTCAGAGACAAAGTTTTTTTGTCATTCGCACCACACGTGGTACATGTGGTGGAACGAAACTGTGTACACAGAGTCCCAGTTACATCCAACAAAAGTATAAATTGTAAAGAAAAACAGTAATAAGCTCTAAGATATGAACTAAGAAATACGCTATGCGCTAGTAGTGCAAAAGCAATACGCCGAACAGCAGCACGAAGCAAGCAGTGAGCAGAGGGCAGTGAGATGAGATACGCAACAAAAAAAATTACAGAATACTTATAAGGGTGCTTCACCATTGGCACCCCAGTCAAACCTTACTGGGAACAAAGCGAACAGTCTGTTTGGGTTATGACTGTTGCCAAGACACCATGCATGTCTTGCTATGACACACACACTGAATACACACACTAAAGATAAGTTTGAGCAGAGCAAGCTAACGATCCAAATAAAATCCAATCCTTAGAGATTTTCAACTTCTTTTTCTGACGTTCCTTTCAAGCAGCCAAGACCAACAGCAGCTAAATATGAAAATTCACTTAGTGAGCGTTTGTTTCCCTGCTGACAAGAACAGTAAGCGCTCTAAACGGTGAGCGATAGGATCATTGCACATGTCATGTTTGAGCCTCTTTACGATCTACAACAGTGTGATCAAGAATCCCTGCTGTTATACAACTCCAAGAAAAGTTTCAGTCACATGTTGTGTTGTTTGCATGTGTGCCTGAGCGTTTCTGAATAGCTGAGTTTATGAAAAGCCTCCTGCTTACAGTACATAAATAACATTCTCCAATTAGATCTTTGCTTACAATGAAAACTCTGCTTAAAGCAAGTGAAATGTGCTGTTGTCTGCATGAACGGGCCTTGAGTTGAAGTGCGCACACACACATACACACACAAGCAGATGGCAGCATGGGATGGGCAGGACACAAGCATTTTGTTGTGACAGACTTAAAGCAGCAGGCCAATAAAACTCCCACTGTTTGGGTGTTTAAATCAAATTGTACGGGATAATTAAGTAATTTCTTCTTCAACTTCCATGTTCATAACAACACAAAGTCTATAAAAGGTTGGTAACAGGTGTTGATCTTTACTATTCTTACACATGATAAAGCTTTTAATTATAAATATACATTTTTGGCCTAAATATACGTTTAAAAGTTAGTTTTTCATCCCTCCAACAACAGATGATGATATTTTAGAACTCTAAATGTGTAAAACTTTGATGATTTATACTTTTCTCTGCAGCTTGTGATAGAAGCTACCATATGGGCCATCAGAACAGCTGTAGCCATTTCTCCCACACACAGATGAACTCCCTGCACCCACACATTCATAAATGTGCACGTACGTCACACATTAGCAGTTCACTACCACAGCTGGACTTTTCAGAACCTAAATCGTTTTTAAAAAATTTGCCAGATACTTATGTATAGTTTCAAATATTTATTTATACTGTCGCAGTAGTACTTTTATGCTTGAAAAATATCATGAGTTGCAGTAATAACCTGGAAAAATATATCTGAAAGTGGAGTTTTCAATGGAAAAAGGGATCTGGAATTAAATATTCAGTAAATGATTCTCATCAGCTGTGTCAGGTTGAAGCAAAAAATATTATTTCTGTTGTTTTAAAAGCGTTGACACCAAATCAACCAATGCACCCACAAACAAACAGACAGACAGATTAAAGTATCAGTATCAAATGTTAGACTTTATTTTAACTTTTTCACCTTTTACACGTCACACGGCTGAACTTTGACACAGAGCTGCACCACCCAGCAGATAATTTGTTCTCTGCTGTGTATCTATAAAACACTTTCCTGCTTTATTTCCTCCTGCTGCCGAGTCTTCACTGTTTTCTGTCCAGCTCAGTTTGTTAAAGGCCGGGCTCTCTTCAAGAGCTCCAACAGGTGAGTGAAAGGACTTCTTTTTGTGAGTTACACAATAATCTTTGAGAAAAATCTCTTCGGTGATATTCTTCAAGTCAATTCTAAAACATCTTGTCACACCCAGAATGTAATGAAGTCACAACAGCAGACTAAAGGGGATAAAAAACAATGTTTGACCCTTTAATGTAGAAAGATGTTCAAGTCATTTGAGACCAGGCTGCACCTGCCATCAACCAGAGCTGCTGTAGAATGAAACAAAGCAAAGAGTTGTTTTTTTTACCTTAAAAAGCAGCAGAGGTCTGGGTTTTGTAATCCAACAGAAAAGCTGCAGATCTGTGTTGATGCTCAGGAAGTCATTCACAGTGAGGGTCTACCAGGTCAGTCACTTTCCCTCACACAGGATCTGCTCTGCCAAGCTCTGCCTTCTCTATATACAGGCAGTCTGCACAGCTAACCACTCCCCCCCAACAATACCCCCCCCCCCCCCCATTAAGTCCCAGCCCTTACCACCCTTCTTGTTTCTCTCCTCACAGCTCCCTGTCTCTCTCTCTCTCTGAACTCCCCCCCACCATTTCTTATCAGGTGAGAATTTCCTAAATAAAATGCTCTCAGACAAATCTATTTTCAGCCTGTTGTCCCCACAGTTTATCTCTAATGTCTCTCGTTTCATTCTGCTCCACAGAATCTGTGGCAGAGTCTAAACTACCTGAGGTGAAGGCTGCTGCTCCTCCTCCTGGACGCAGGTTGTATAACCTCAGGCCTCCTGGAAATCCTGCTTCTAGAAATCTACAAACAAATGTTAATGATTTGGCAGGAAGAAAGATGAAAATCTCTAAAAAGTTCAGACTCTTTTCTTCAGGTTGCCTTTTTGGATCTGTTTGCATCACCTGCTTCTGTTTTGTGTCCTCTAGTTTATTAAAAGTTAATGAGCACGCTCCGTCTGAGAGCGTCACACTGAACTGAATTAGTCTCGTTTTGGTTTATTCTTAAGGAGCATTAAACATTAGATATAAAGGTTGATTTTAATAATTCTCTGTGTGTGTGGGTGTTTGAAACATTTTCTGTGATGTTTGGTGTGTTTTTTTTAACATTAGTGGCAAATTTAGTTGAGTGCTGTACTTAACACCCCCTCCCCCTACACACACACACATACAGACACACACACACTTGCTGTGGTTTGATCAATAATCTAAAAGCTGAATCAATAACTGAGACAAAGCAGAGTGTTAGACACGAGGAAGCGACTGAGAGTAAAAAACTCCATAAATAAATAAAAACCTTTCGACCACGCAATGGATTTATTATGTTGTACTTGATTTCCATACTTCTTGTACTTAACGACTCTGCTGTTGTTTTTTTTTGTTTGTTTGTTTGTTTTGTGATCAAAAATATAATAAATCAGATTATTTTTGACTGTTTGTGTCAGTTTCCAGTCGAGGCAGATGGCTGCCCATCCTGATCCTGGATCTGCTGGAGGTTTCTTCTGGTTAGAAGGAGTTGGTCTTTTTGGATGGGATGGGAGATTGTAATGAAGTGATGATTCAGTGCAATCTGCTGGCTTCATTACAGAGATAACTTTAAAAAATGGTCATTTTATACTATATGTGAATGTTTTGTACAGTGTTGTGAGATGACTCTTGTTGTGTTAGATCAGAAGAACGTCAGGCCACAGAAGACTTTCACTGAAGTCTCAAATTTATCAATAAAATGGTCAATTTTTGTTCTTACTCAACTTTATTTTTCAAAGGTTATATTCAGTTATTATTTAATCATATCCATAATGTTGTCTAAAAAATAGAATAAATATTGGCAGTATTTTTCCAATATGGTCACTTTTGAAGATAATATAAATTACAAAAATAATTAAATGGTTTAAATGAAAATGTATACATAAATTGTATTTATTTAGCCCTTTTCAAAATAGAATTATGTTGTTTACAGTATGAAAATAGTCTATAAATTAGATCAAAAGATACAATTTACAAGTATTATTTACAGCAATGTTAATGAGTATTTTTGTCTGTTTGTCTTTGCTTCTTTCTTTAACCATTAAAGGGTGAGGCTGTATTAAATTCAGAGTGGATTTATTTTTAGTTCGTTTGACTTTTGTTATTTTTATTATTTTGTGTTTTTATTGTTATTGTATTTATTGGGGAGTGGTGGCACAGAGGTTAGAGAAGGTGGGCCTGTGATCGGAAGGTTGCTGGTTCAACTCCTCAAATCGATAACATTAAAAAAAAAGTGGGTGGGAAATGTGAAACACCCACACCTGCCTCCACCCTCATTTATGTCCAGATTTTATATTTTTTATTCAGATATTAATAAAGATATTAATGTGGGGTAATATGGTGTAAAATGAGCAGATCTGTGGTAGCTCGGTGGTCTTTGTTGCAGTCTTGTAATCCTGAGGTTGTGGGTTTGAGCCCAGGATCTGTGCAGTTTGGTTACTTTTTGATGGTTTGTTTTGTGATAATTAGATCAAGTTTCCCTCGTTTCTGTTCATCTTCTGTGTTTTGGGATGTTGCTTTTTATTTTTTTATTTCCGTTTCTTGTGTTTACCCGTCATCAGTTCAGTTCTCAGTCAGCTTCCTGCTGCTGTTAGTCTCACCTGATCTTTGTTGCCTCGGTAACGTATCGAACGTCATTGTGACATCATCTCGGTCCTTCTCGAACCCTTGCGTTTTGCCTGAGCTTTTGAGATTTGACAGTTCCTGACTACCACATCAGCACTTTATTTTATAATTATTCAAGGATTCAAGGTTCTTCATTTGTCGTTCCGCCACGTGTGGTGGAACTAAATTGTGTACACAGGATCCCAGTTACATCCAACAAAAGTATTAAAATGTAAAAGAAAAACGGCAATACGGCAATAAGATCTAAGATATGAACTAAGAAAAACACTAGTAAAAATACACCAAGCACTAGCAGCATAAAAACAATACAGTGAAGAGCAGCACGAACATGAGTCTGTGTGAGCAGATGAGTATGAATGAACAGCAGCATGAAATAAATCAGCAACATGATGTGATTATTCTGGGGAGGCTGACTTCACCAGATTTCTGTGCAGCCTTCACCACTCTCTGCAAAGCTTTTCTTGCGTTAAAGCGTTAAATTTATGTAAATAAAACTGTTTACTTTTATACTTTTGAGTCCAGTCTGCATCCTGGGTCCTAAACGTCCACGACTGTGATACCAGCTTTCTTCAGGAAGTTGTGGCGACTCCTGAAGAAGGGAGCAGCTGAAAGGAAAAACATGACTGTGCAGAATAAAATGTTAATTTTAGAGTAATTTAAAAAACAGGCACAAATGCTAAGTTCTTCTAAATAGATGCTGAAATCCAAATGTGAGCCAAATGCAGATTTTCAGTTTTCCCTTTCAGTGAAAAATAGTTTTTCCTCACCGTCTTCATTCCCACTCATGTCAGTCATCTCCCACATTCACAACAAACTGTTTAAATGACTCAGCAGATCCCAGCTGACAAACAGCTTCTCACTAATGTGAACAAAACTGAGGCCATTGGGTGATGGGTTTTTTAAACAACGCTATAATTATGGTCTGAACAACTCTTACACAACCTTGCACCACTTAAACAAGGTAACTGTTTTCACAGACTTGAACCATCATCGCCTTCTCAGTCCTTATTGTACCTGAACCGCATGTAATTCAGTTGTAACATGTAAAGAATCGTGCAACAGGTGAGTCATTCCTGGAGCAGCGTGGCTCATGTGCCTCACTTACGGTAAACACACAAGAAAGTGATTATAGCCTACAAAGAGAAGGCGTGTATCTGTATGAGAGGATCCTCAAAGACCCCTGAATCAGAGCAGGAAGTCAGCAGACACAGGAACGTTGTGTGATTCACGCCTCAGTGAATCATCTCTGACGGTTGTAAGAATTGTGTTTCACAAGATGTGTAGGCGGTGTGTCATGTATGGGTGTACATTGAACAGATTAGCATGACTCAAACTCCAACTCGCCCTCTGGATGTTAAACATGACACTAAACAGCCCAAAGTTGAGGCAGAAAAAAGGGGGTCTGGTATCAGACCAGTGCTTCTGTTCGTGAGGTAATTTCCTGAAAATAGGCCAAACTGTGGAGGCTGAAGTCACATGTCAACAATAAAGCCTATACATAGAAAAAGGCACACTCCAGGGAAAAATAACACAAAAAGTGCACTAACAAAAGTATTTCTTTAATGTGTGGGTACTGTAAAGTTCATTTTTATGTGTTTTTTTAAAGAAAGCAAGCATTAGGACTGAAACGCACTCATCCTGAAGAACAATCCATCTATTTATCAGAGCGTTGCTTCATAATCATCCCACGATGCTACACAGAGAGCGCCCCAGCTGCACTGTGTCAGGGTGGATCTGCTCCCTTAACCCCGAGGAAGAGTAGACACATGTCCATCTCCATTCCTCTGGAGCATTTCCTGTTCCAGGAACATGCAGAGCGTGTGTGGAGTTACGAATGAACACAGAGTGCATCAACAGTTGAATGTTTTCAAGGCGTTTGGCAGCACGATAAACACCCACATGTTGGTGTTGATGAGAAACTCAAGATATTTGGGAGAAAAACCTTGAACTGTTTGTCGTCCTTCTCTGCAGCTGGAGCTACAACACTGGATGGTTGTTTTGGAGAGAAGTGGAGACTCCATGACTCAAAGAAAATATTACACACACTGAAGATGAGGAGAGTTACTCTCTACATAGGACTGTTGAGCAAATTAATCACTTGTCCCTCTTCCAATAAAATTAAATTTCTACATTTTGGCTCGCTCAATTTTTCAAAAGTCAGCGCCTCAGGACTCATTTTTCTGGGATTTGTCTTCTAGAAGATGGTTGTAAAGACGTCCAGTGCCATTCTTTAATGTCGATCAGACACGTGGGTCAGGTGCACGTTAACCTGTCAGTACACCAGACATGAAGAGACAAAGTACAAGACAATCTGTGCAGCCTTCAGGTGCAACTTTAAAAACGGGACAGAAACTGGTGGGATGCGCAAAGGACTGAAAAGGTGTGTGTGTGTGTGTGTGTGTGTGTGTGTGTGTGTGTGTGTGTGTGTGTGTGTGTGTGTGTGTATATACCTGTGTGTGTGTGTGTGTGTGTGTGTGTGTGTGTGTGTGTGTGTGTGTGTGTGTGTGTGTGTGCGTGTGCGTGCGTGCGTGTCAGAGACTGTACAGTGACGGTACAGATCTGAGAATGTCATGACACATGATCAATCAATCAATCAACCTTTATTTATACATTTATACATGATATTTTGAGATGTGAAACCATGTAAAAAAGGAAATACTGCGTCAATTCCTGAAAATGACTGGTTAGAAAATGCAGCTTTTTATTTATTTTTTTGATGACATTAAAAGGTTGAGTCTACTTTTTGAAGGTATGAACATTTTTGGGCTGACGTGCACATGT